GTTTTCTGGTTTTTTTTTTCTTAGTGGCATGCCCAATTTGTTAATTTACTTTTTTTTCCCTAACGAAAGCATTTAGAAATATAAATTTTCTCCTAAGAACTGCTTTAGTTGTATCCCATTAGTTTTGGTTTGTAGTCTCATCGTTTTCATTTTTAATGATCTTTTCTATTGTTTCTATAATTTGCTTTTTGATTCATCAAATCTTTGGGATTAAGTTATTTAGGTTTCAATTAATTTTTAATTTTTATTCAAAAGACAGCTTTATTGAAGATAATTTTATTGCGTTGTGACTAGTAAATGTTCATATTTCTACTTTTCCACATTTGTTTATGAGTTTTTCATAACTCAATATATGGTCAATTTTTGTAAAAGTGCCATAAGTAGCTGAGAAATATGTTAACTTCTATCTCTTCCCCTAATCACCAGAGATCCATTATCTTTAATTTTTCTAAAGTTGTATTCATGTCTTTAACTTCTCTCTTAGTTATCTTTTTTTAGCTTTTTTAGGTACACTGAAGCCCCCCCCTTATTAGAGTTTTTGTTTTATATTTCTCCCTGTATTTTTCCCCTGGTGTATCCATATCTTAGTGCCCAAATGCTTCTGTCTGTGTTTTTATGTAATATTGGATTGGAAAAAGGTGATTACTTTTTTTCTCTTTAAACATCTGGATCATTAGTCAATCTATTATCTTTTTTAGAGCTTTGCTGTATTACATGTGGGGAATCTGGGTTCCTTAACAACACTGCAATTTAACTGGAATTCTGTACTCCTCAGTATTTTCTCTGACAATTAATTACCCTTGCTCTACCTTCATCTTCTTTTCTTCCTTCCTAATATCAACATCAAACTATTCTTATCATTCCCACCTAATATCATTTGTACTATGCTTATAGCAAAAACATTTCTATATGTAATATGAAAAAAAACTGGAATTTGGTCTCAAAGTTGGGCTCTTATAAGATGAGGCCTATTATGATCAATTCATTACTTATTCAACTCTAGATGCCAAAGCCACTAAATTTTTTAAATACCAATAACCCATGAATCAGGAGAAAAGGAATTGTCCTCTTTTTCCCTCCTCAGTTTCTGATTCCTTCTTTTATTCCTTCTTCCTTACCATAGTCCATTGCAGGTACATCAATACACTGTTTCAAAAAATCAAGCAGTCTTCAGTATGCAGACTAGAGTTTAAATACAGAATCTTAAGTATGTGGCTTTGATACATTAATGGGTCTATAATCTCATGAATATATGGCCACATACAAATGGTTATGAAAACCATGCATACCCTTTGATACAGCAAAACCACTGCTAGTTCTGTATCCCAAAGACATCAAAAAGGGGGGGGGGGCATTTTGTTCAAAAATATTTATAACAGCTCTTTTTGTGATGGTTAGGAATTGGAAATCAAAGGGATGCCCATCAGTTGAGTAATGGCTGAACAAACTGTGGTATATGATTGTGATAGAATATTATTGTGCTATAAGAAATGACAAGCAGGATGATTTCAGAAAAACCTGGAAAGACTTACATGAACTGATGCAAAGTGAAGTGACAAGAACCAGGGGAATATTGTACATAGCAACAGCAATATTGCACAGTGAAGAACTGTGAATGATTTAGTTATTCTCAGCAATACAATAATCTAAGACAATCCTAAAGGACTCATGATGAAACATGCCATCTATCTCCAATGAAGGAATTGTTGGCATCTGACTACAGACTGAAGCATACTATTTTTCACCTTTTTTAAAATTTGAGTCTTCTTATACAAAATGGAAATGTTTTACGTGATAACACATGTATAACCTATATGGGATTGCTTACCAAGGCAGGGCAGGGGAAGGAGGGAGGGAGAAATAGAATTTGGAACTCAAAATTTAAAAAAAAATTGTTAAAAATTGTTTTAACATGTAATTGAGGAAAATAAAGCTGTATGTATATATGTATATGTTTGTATGTATGTACATATATATGTACATATATACCATAGTACAAAAAGTTCCTGACTTGAAGTCAGTAAAACCTGGGTTCAAATTCTAGCTTGGATAGTTATTAACTATTTAATCATGAACAGGTCAATTAACCTGATCCTGGTACATCAACTGTAAAATGAGGATAATAAATTCCTGTGGTACTTGTCTCAAAGGATTGTTGTGAGATGCAAATGAGATGGTATATATGAAACATTTTGCAAACCTTAAAAGCCTATATAAGTGATAGTTGTTGATACTCTTATTTTGTGTAATTCTTGCCTTTAAGTTTTCCAGAATGCCTACCCAGTGTGCTAGAGCCCTTCCTCTAAATCAGTGGTTCTTAGCCTTGGGGTCCATGAACTTGTTTAAAAAAATTGATAAATGATTTTCAAAATAATAGGTTTCCTTTGTAAGTGTATGTATTTTATTTTATGTATTTAAAAACATTATTCTAGAAAAAGGCTCCATAGGCTTTGCCAGACTAACAAAAGATCCATGATACAAAAAAGTTAACAGCCAGTCTCTGCTTTAAATTTAATTTTGTGGCCTCTAGTGCAATATTGGAGACTCTCCATTTTTTGATCTCTTCATTAACCACCCACTTGTTTTTCTGACATTTTCTGAATGACACTTACTGAAGACAAGCTGTCACTGTCGTTTCCTTAGTATTACCTACAATTTTGACCTTCCAGATATTTGGGTCCAAGATTCGTAACCATATAGCAGCATCAGAAGAATATTAATGTTAAGAAGCAGAGCTGATGTGCCAAAGAGCAGTCTGGGGTTGTTGGAATTACTGTACAATTTTCTAAATAAGATAATTGATATTTCTTTTAAAAAAGGTTTTCTCAAGTAACAAAAATTTATATTCTCTCCCTCATACTTCTTCCTTCTTCTTGAAAAAAATAAAAACAAAACCCCTGTTAGTCAAGCAAAACAAATTCCCACAATGGCTATGTCCAAAAAATGTTCCTCATTCTGCATCTTTGTGAACAACATGTCTCAGGAGTTAGTAGAATATTTCATGATACGTTTTCTGGAATCATGTTTGTTCATCAGAAATCTTAAGCCTTTCTTACATTCTTAAAACATTCTACTTTTGAGTCCAACTTATTGCTTATCTCTTCTTCCTGTCCAAGATAAATGATGGAATGAGAAATTACTTCAATGGGTTGTGTATCTAGCTATATGTCTTTCTGCGAAATGTGTATTTTTCATCCATTTCAAAGATGAATCTGGTGCTAGTTCAGTCTCTTTTGATTGGTTATGGGGCTCAATGACAAAATTCTGATGTAATCAACATAGTGTTTATAGTGCTTTAAAGTTTGCAAAAACACTTTACATGTTATTTCATTTGGTCCTCACAACAATCCTTTGAAGTAGGTGCTATTATCATTCCCATTTTATAGATGAGGAAACTAAGGCTGAGAGACTTTAAGGGGCTTGCTACTAAATATCAGAGGTGGAGTTTGAATTCAGGTCTTCCTAAATCCAAATCTAGCACTCTATCCATTGTATCACCTAGTAGAAACCTCTGGAAGATTTAAACAGATGTTAGTTTTTTTTTAATATTACTTTCTTTTTTGTGAGTAAACTTCTAATTTTTTGTAGTTCTGATAGGAAAATTTTTGTAATCCCATACATCAAATAAGATAATATTTGTAAAGCGCTTAGTACAATGCCGGTCACATAGTGCTTAATGAGCGTTTGTTTCCTTCCTTTCTCTCCCTCCATCCCATTTTTCCTCCCCCTACCTCAAACAATCCTCACATCTTTCCAACCTGTACTGGGAACACTATCAAGCAAAACTGAAAGAGGTGTTTTTCAACAGAGACCATGTGTCACAATATTTGAGGTAACAAACTCAATCATAGAAACAAAGAAAAACATTGTACATAGACGTGAAGGAGAAGTATTTTATTATAGACCAAGGAAACTATTCAATCCCATTTTTCAGAATTCTGAGAAAATATGCTTGAACTGCTGAGCTGTAGTCAGGGATGAATTTCCAGTATTCTAAGACAGTGGTGTCAAATTCAAATAGAAATAGAGCCGTGAGGATGCGTATTAATTTAGAAAACCACAAATTAACGTCATTCATGTCGTATTGCAATTTAGTTTATTTTGTTAAACATTTCCCAATTACCTTTTGATATGATTGAGCTACACTTAGGAGTTTTACACTGCAGATGGGTGTTTGACACCTCTCATCTAAGAAGTATTAATATTGCATTTTTCATTAGAATACTTGCATTTGTTTCTGGAGGCAATAAATAGGAAGCCACTTATTTAGTGATAAGAAAAAAATACAAGTTCTGTAGTCTAAGAGAGTTTTTACTGTAGCTATATTTCTATTTCTATTGTGCTGTCTATATATTCTTCCAAATCAACCCTGTCCCGCCTCCCCCCAGCCTGCCCCCAACATTTTGTGTTTGTAGGGCACCAATCCTCCATCCCTAGCTTGAGCAGAACAGATTGCTAAATTTTCAGAGTGTGCATGAACACCTAGAAAGTTGGAAATGCTACAAATCAGGAATTGATTTATTAATTGTCTAGACAAAAAGCGATGGAGAAAAATGTTAATGATGCAAGTTAAACTCTAAAGTGTGTCCAGTGTAGTTTTTTTTTTCTTCTGGAGAGTCGGTTGTTAAACATCTACCAGTACACACATACCTCCACCCCAAGGACCTTTTATGGGCTATGTTTATGACTACGGAGAGGGAGAGGCTTTTGTTGTCGGCCTCAATTTGAACGCAGTTAGGGACATGAAGATAGAGCAGGTGTGCCCAATCGCATCCTACTCGAAAGATGCTTATCACGTTCTTTCCAAATGAGAAACTCCGCCAGTTTCTCCACCAGTTTTCAGTCGACGCGGCATCAGTCTATCTCTTGTGGGCCAATCAACGTGCCTCATTCTTCTACAGCAGCCAATGAGAGCAAGGATGTGGCGCTGCCCGCACCTCCTCAGGCTCGTCTCATCACCAGCGAGGCCCACCCCCGCCCAGATGCGGGGAAGCGTGAAGGGCAGCACCGCCTCTCCTGGAGCGCTCGGTCCCTGCAATTGGCTGCTGCGCGCAGCGCCCGTATCCGGCCGTCTGCGAGCTGGGGGTCTCCCGGAAGTCCTCGCGCCAAAGGGTCCTGTCTGGGTCGTTTGCCTACCAGGGTAAGCATGGGATAGTCAGAGGCTGCGGAGAGACCAGCGTGGGGTGCGGGCTCCCGGGTCTTTTTTTCCCCGCGGTCTTTTTTTGCCTTGGTGGGTGGTCAGAGGACCCTCTGGAGGAGAGGGCAGCGTTGGCCGAAATCACCCGGGGGTCCAGAACTGACATTTTGGGAGAGTGGGGAGAGCAGTGGCATCGGTGGCTCACCTCGTCCCCCAGGTGTGTCTGCACGGTGTCTGTGCCAACACACGTAGCGTAGCGGTTCTGTGGAGGGGTTCCTTGGGGAGCTAGCTGCAATCTCCAGGGGTGTCGCTTGGTTTCCATGGCCGGGTCTTTGGGGCGGCCCTCAAGGGGCACTGTGGCTGGCGTCCCTAGGAAGGATCTTGTTGGACTGTCGTTATTAAACTGAACCACAATATCCCTGAAAAAGCACAAAGACTCCAAGTTGTTGCTCAGACAGTCCACCCTGGCTTCAACCTAATAGTACAGTTTGTGGTCAGGATTCCAGCAAAATTTTAAAGAAATTGGCTACTTAGGTATGGCTTGGACTAAAAACCCATAGAGTAGTTTACAGGATTGAATTTTAACCTTCTTTTTCAGTTCATATTTTGTCAGCCTTACTTTTAACTTTGATGATTGATTTAAAAGGTAAAGACGAAGCAGCCCCTTTTCCTTCACTCAGCTCAGGAGCCCAGCTCATTGTCCACAACATCTATGCAAAATATATGTAGGCTTATCTCTGTGGACAGTTTACGTATCATAGTCTGTAGATAATAGGCATTTCCATTCGCTTGTTTTTTTTTTTCTCCCGTGTGAATAACTTGTTTGAACTCTTGAACCATTATCGATCTCAAATGAGATACTATCTGTTAAGTGATGTCACAGTGTCTGGCACGTGGTAGGTTACTAATAAATACTTGGCTCCCTTCCTCTCCTCATCTAAGAGGTTCCACAGTGTTCCAGGACATAATGCAGTTAATACAATATTATTTGCAAACGGCAATATCTGGAGGATCTGTCAACTTTTAGGGAACCCTTTGATTAGGATTCCTCTACTTCCTCCTTATATTAGAGCCCGGGTATTTTTCCTGTGAAACACGTGTATATACAATTTATATGTATGTTATGTGTTACATATATACATGTGTGTATGTGTACACATATAAGACCAAGCAAAATTTTTGTCCATCAGCCCTGAGATAAGCAACCAGAAAGACATTTTACTTTTAGGGAGTGTTTGGTGTGTTTCATTATAGTAAAAAAAAAAATTTTCAACATTTCAGGATCCAGGCATATTCTTTGTTTTGGTTTTTCTTTTCACAGAAGTGCTTATTGTGAATTAATGAAATTTGTGAGACCTTATTTCTTTTTTCCACCATACTTTGTTTCTTCCTTGCCTTGAAATTCCAGTTGATTATCTTTTTAGAAAACTCATTATTTATTTGATTTGTGCAAGATTGTCTGCTTGTGATCACATGAGCTTTTGATTTTATTGCTTGGCTTGTAGAAAAGGAATTTTTGAAATTGCCTCCTAAACATAAGGATCAAACTTCATATTTATCAGTACTTTGAAGTAGGAAGAAGGCCCTAAAATTATCAGTAAATTTTAGTTTATGTTGAAAAATTTGCAAATTTTATAGAACATTTCATCTCTAGATCTAATTCTTGTATATGTGTTTATGTATTATTTATCTTGTTTTCTTTTCTTAACTTCAGAAAGAACAGGATTGACTGAAAAGACCTTCTGGCCTCTTCCAGCTCTTAGGCTTTGATTCAAAAGTTAATTTTTAAATAACTTTTAAGTATAACTTTTTTCTGCTTGAGTACTCAAATGGACCTGTTCTTTCATCTATGTAGATATTCCCTCCATTTGGAGATTGTAGAATCAACAAATACTTAGATGTATCAGATACTGTGCTGGGGGATATAGAGAAAAGGCAAAACCACCATATCTTCCTGAAGCTTACATTCCAGTAAGGGCAACAATATATATAAATAGGTATATACAAGATAGATGGATGTAATTTGAGGGGGGAAGGCTTTCACAGCTAAAAGAACTGAGAATGGTTTACTGTAGAAGATGGCATTTGAGATAAGTGTTGGAGGAAAGGTGGAGGTGAAGAGAGAATATTGCAAGCATGGAGGACAACTCCATATACAAAGGTACACGGGATATGGAAAGTTCTATGGTTAAGTACAGCTTAATTGTAGAGTTTATGGCAGGCAGTAATGTGTAAGATGAATGAAAAGATGGGAAAAGGGCTAAATTGGAAGAGCTTTCTATGACAGAGTGGTTAGTATCCATTCCTAGAGGTAATAAAATTGCGTCGTGGGCCATCTCCAGTTGTCCTGAAGTCTGTTTGGCCACTGGACCCAGATGGCTCCAGAAGAGAAAGTGAGGCTCTCTCACTTAAATCCAGTTCACTTGCATGTCATGGCATCATCTCCCTGATGTCATGGTGCTCTTCAAGGACGAAGGACAAACAACAATGGAGCTAATGTAATTTGAAGGGGAAATGACATGATCAGGCCCTTTAAGGGATCAACTGCATGGAGGTTGGATTGGAGTGGAAGTCTTGAGGCAGAAAGATGAATTAGAGGGCTATTGTAATAGTACAAGGGACAGGTGGTGAAGACCCGAACTAGGACGGAGGCTGTGTAGAGAGAAAGATATATGTGTGAGAGAGATTGTGGAGAAAAAAAGACAAGATTTAGAAACTGATATGAGTTATGAATGAGCAGTCAAGGATGGCATGAACGTCACTTGGGTGACCAGATAGATGGTCAACCCCTCAGTGTCTTCTTATCTATATTTTTCCATATATCTTTTGGGAAGAATGTACAACTAGAGGCCTCTCCTAGTTCTTTTTAATATCATAGGTACCATTGTAACATTTAGGGCAGCTGGGTGGTACAGTGGATAGAGCACCATACCTGGAGTCAGAAAAACTTGAGTTCAAATGTGGCCCTAGACACTTACTAGTTGTATGATCGTGAGCAAGTCATTTAACCCTCAGTTTCTTCATCTGTGAAATGAGCTGGAAAAGGAAATGGCAAACCACTCCAGTATCCTTGCCAAGAAAACCCCAAATGGGGTCACAAGGTATCCAACATGACTGAAGCAACTAAACAATGACAGAATTGTAACATTTGCAATGTCCATTTGATATACCTTACTCTTAGCCCACCCTTTATATATTATATATATATATATATATTTGATGATGTCTTTGATACTACCTTCATACAAGGTATTGTCAGTAATATAGACATATGGATATTACAGAGGAGTGCTAATAATCATTTAACATCTGACTTCTCTAGGGGGGAGAAACAGACTTTTAAGTTTAATCTGCATTATTAATTTTCTTCATCATTTTCTTAAGTCTAGACAATCAACATAGCAATAAATTAAGCCCTGATTTGTAGTGTTTGCTGGTTTCTGAGGTATAAATGCTCACAATGAAAATTTAATAATCAACTCTTGTATGCTGATGAGTTGGTTCTAGTACAGCCTTGCACATATGTACATATATACATGCATATATTTATTTATTATGCTTCAATGAGCATTTATCTAGCTTCTACTATGTGAACTTCGTTGTATTCAATGTGCATTTAAAAAAATGTTCAATTCTTCCCCCCTCCCCCACCCTGTTCCTCCCCCATTCCCCTACCTCTGCCTCCCTTTTTTGGCATTACTCTGCAAGCTCCCTGCCTTCCCACTTAATAAGAGAAGGAAAAAAATCGTTGTAAGAAATAACCATAGTCAAACAAAACAAATCTCACAGTGGCCATTTCAATAAATGTGTCTCTTTCTGCACTTTAGACCATCACTCCTCTTGTCAGGATATTGGTAACATTTTCCTTCATAGATAATTGCCTAGATCAGACTTTGCTTGTTTTTCTTTCTTTTTAGTGTTTAGTTTAGTTAGTTTAGTTTAGTGTTTCTCTTGGTTTTGCTCACTTCATTCTATATCTATTCATACTTCCCAAGATTTTCTGAAATTGTTTTTCATCATTTCTAATAGCACATTGATATTCTATTGCATTCATTTGTATGCCACATTTGTTCAACTATTCTCTAATTGATAGACACCCATTTTTGTTTCCAGTTCTTTCCATTTTCCTTTTTCTTTTTCCTTTTCCCACCTTCAAGATCAGAAAGTTTATTTTGCTTATAAAATTTTCCCTTCCTGGTTATATTCCCTCCTTTAGGCAGCTTTTCCCTTACCCACCCCACTCCCATTTAGTTTGCTGTATTTCTACATCAAACCCTCTGTGCTTGTTTGAGTGTTTTTTGTTTAGTTCAGACAAAAATGAGGTTCAGTTCATGCTTGCCTCTTCCTCATAGTTGAATAATCTGACTTCAATTATGCAAAACAGAAAATCTCACCCCTTCCTCTTTTCAACATTACATATGTGTATGTATGTATGTATATATATATATATATATATATATATA